TAGTTCATTTATTCCTTGTTTCTTCTCACCTTTGACTGCTGCCTCGGCTTCCCGAATGTCAACCGCGTACACGGCAGCTCCTGCCGCTACGGCGCATTTCAACGTGATCGCGTTAACACGCACCGACGATGACTCAGGCGAGCCCCAGCGAGGTAAGGCGATGTTGTTACCGTTCACTCGCACAGTGCATTCACCCGTCGTCCAGTCGATTCGCGGATTGTGTCGTCGCAGCCAATCACGCCCGAGTAAAATATCGGTTCCGTCGAGGGTCGTTGCGAGCATTTCCTGGCTAAACGTGAAGTTACCCCCACATCGAATCCGAACTCGGTCCACACGTTCCCATATCGCCAGTGGCGTGCCGTCGACCAGTCTTGCGTCGATTTCAGGTAAGCATCTGTCCAGTGGCAGTCGCAGTTTTCGTGCTGTAGCGGTGTTGATGAGGCTGTGGCTGGCTCCCCCGTCTACGAATATTTTAACTAAGTCAGTCCCAATTTTCCCACTAAGTAGTATAGGGCTGTCTACCGTAGTACCCTCCTTATTCGGCCGGGTGTGGTCGATTGCGTGAACCGGCACAATCACTCGGTGAGGGTCGGTTGGGTCGGGCGAGCGGCGTGACCTGTCAGTAGAGGGCCCGTCTGCTACTGACTCCCAGCGTTTCCCTGCTGCTTGGTCTGTTTCTGCTGCTCAGCTTCCCCCTTTCCCTTAGCGTTTTCCGGGCATTCGCTCTTGCGGTGTCCCGGCCGATTGCACGCAAAGCAGCGCCCTTTGAACGGTGCGGCAGCGGCATTTGCGGCGACGGCATGTATCGTAGCGCCCTCGTTCGTCCCACGAGGCCGATGTCCCCAATTGCTGCTTCCGTAGGACCCCGGTCTCGGTCGGCGGAAGAAATCGAGTTTCTCCGCCATGGCAAGAATCTCCTGAAAATCGGTGACGCCGCGAAGTTGGATTTCCTGAGCGATGTCCTGCTTCAGGCCGCCGATGTAGCGGTCGATGCGCTCGCTCTCATGCATATATCCCACCTGCTCGCATAGCGCCAGAAACCCGCTTGTGTGGTCTTGGATGGAACCGAGTTGGCGCCAAGTGCGGAGCCTCTGTCGCGCCGCGATCGAAGCCGCAATTGGCTCGAAACGAGCGTGCAGACCTGCGCACCACGCGTCCCACGTGCGATACTGGGGCACCTCCACGAAATACGACGGCGCCCAGGGTCCGGTTTGTCCTTCCCGTGTCGGTAGAGTCGCGTAGTCCACCGGCTTCGTGACGATGACGCGCCACCAGTCCATGGCGGGTCCTCGCAGCAACGACACGGCGTAACGAATCTTCGCCGTATCCTCCAAGACATAGTTCGCGTCGAAGAAAACGTTCAACGTGAAGAGCCACGCCTGAACGGTAGGACCACCCCGCTGACTTGGGTCAAAGCATGGCGGACGCTGCGGCTTTAGCGGCATCGGCGACGGCAGAGCTGATTCGCCGGCCGGCACTGAAATCGTGACTCGAGGCTGATTCCTGGCCGCATTCGTCGCGTCGGGGTGTGTCGTGCCGTGGTCGTCGTCTCCGTCATGGCAGACGACGCCATCACTTGCGGCGCTCGCGGGTTGCCCCACACTTCCGTGCTGTGATGCCTGTGGTGCGGGCTGAATCGGAGTGCCAGGTGCTTGGGATTGTGCTCGTGTAAGGTCATGTTGCAGGGACGAGCGTTCTGCCGTCAGCGTCGCGATTTCCTCGGCGCTCTCGCGGATTTGTCGTAGCAGATCGTTCAAGTGCTCCTGCGTGAGAGTCGTGACGTCGATATGTTCAGCCATTTCGAAGGGCGTCGGCTCGTCTTAGTCTAGGCGCAGTCGTGGCTGCACACCTACACACGTAGCGAACCAATGATCGAAATCTTCAAACGGAATCACCAACCAATTGACGAATGGATTGAGAACCCGAACCAAACAAACTTTTGTTGACGATTGGTTCCGCAGTCTTGGGAAAGAGGAGAGCGTGCTCTGCTCGAAAAGAATCATGACCGGCATTCTGAACCTTATTTTCCGAAACCTCACCCCAGAGCAAATTCCGAATCCAGAGTACAGTATCTTTCGAGCAGGATCTCCATTTCAACCCACGATTTTCGGATGCGTGATATCCTCGCATGCGTGAGTCTGGGGGTTCGATTCCGCGCCGGTTGGTGGGATGGCGGCTGTAGGACGTGGGTTATGCGTCGCACGAACTCAACCTGGGTGCAGTAGGAACTTCAGAACGGCGGTTTCGTCATGTCCTCGCCTGAGGGGCTCAAACTTGGAAACAATTACGCTGCAAGCATACAGAAAACTGTCGCGAAGGTCCCTCGTGGCTCGGACAGTCGCAGGACACAGTGTCTGCTGCAGGCCCATTCGCACGTCTTCTCCATGATCGTCTGGGCAAGAAATGGTTGCCACGGCGTGGCGGGGAAAGCGCAGGTTCGCGACGATCGCGGAAACAGGAAGATGATCATGTGGCCGCATGCGAGAGGGATTGTTGCGGCGGCTGTGCTTGCTCTGCTCGTTCTCGCCTCGAATTCGGCTGTCCAGCCCCGACAGCAGGTAGTACAGCGATTGCTTCCTCCTTCTCATTCGTCAGTCGCCAGTGCAACGCCAGTGCAACGCCAGTGCACATTGAATCTAGCGGATCTGGATGGAACAACTTGCGTTGAACGCAGCACTGCTGAGCACGACTCTCCCCAAGACCAAGCCTATTCCCGGCAGCAGTCGTAGTCCCCACACGCCTTGAAACTTGGCCCTTTCGCAACACTTTTTGTCTTCCACCTCTTCTCCCCCACTCCCCTTACCTCCCTCCCTTGTGTTTTCACTCCCAGCTGCTCACTGGTGCTCGCTATAGCGCCATCGGTTATACTGGCTACCGTCGCAGTCATAATGGCGACGATGGGAGGGGCTTGACGAGCAATGGCGACGATGGTGGGCGGGGGTTTGAGTTGCCTAATCCGCTGTCCAGGTTCGATGCATCTGCAGCATGGCACCAGATGCAGCGCCGCACTGCTGACTCGTGCTGGAGTCAGCAGGAGTGACACCTGTACCACACGGTATGGCGTGAGAGGGTATCTGTGGCACACGGTATCTGTGGGAGGCTGTAGGTGAGGGGGTTGGAGGGCAGCATTTGTAGCACATGGTACAGTGTGTAATGTGTGAAGAAACGTTGTACCTGTAGCACACATGGGTGGGATGGGACTTCTGTAACAGGGGGGGGGGGGGAGATGGGGGAGGTAGACATGTGTAGCACATGGCATGCGGGTGACGCATTTGCAGCATGCGGCTGGTGCGGCTGCTGCGGGGGTACTGACTTGGGAAACCTAGAGCCCATCAGAACTCGAACGCAATTCGAACTGATCCGCCAACAACAAATTTGAACAGCTTACCCACCCTGATCCAATCCCATCAGGCCAATCCGTCCCTTCCTTCAGCAGCGTTCAGAGCTGCAGTGGAAGAGTCTGAAGCGATGCAGAGGGAGTGTGTGGGGTTCCGAGAGGTGGACAGCTGGCAATGGGTCAGAGACAAGGCCACGTGGTATGTTGAGGGCACGTGGTGTGCTGAGGGAAGGAACGTGGTGTGATAAAGGCATGTGGTGTGATAAGGGCATCATCAACATCCCTGTCAGTCCGCATGTGTATGCTTTCATTCACTTCAAACTCCTAAGCACTCGACACTCACAGTACCCGCATCGTGCCTCCCAAGAAAGACAACTATTCATGCAGTATATCATACATGATGCCACCTTTCTTTACCCTTTTCCCGTTGCTCCTTCTTGTCTTCCCCAAATTCACATCCATCCTCTGTGAACCACAAGGAACGAGACCGTTCCTCGTTACGGCCATGACAGGAAGCAATGTCGCTACATTTCAATTCGTGACCTGGATAGGGGTATGCTGTTAGTGAGTACGTGCATGGCCTGGGGTCTATGTTTTAATGAATGAATCCCACCTTGCTGTCAGGTAATACCTCTCTTCTCCTCTCAACCTCGCTGTCAAATAACACCTCCCCACTCCTCAACCTCGCTGCTAGATAGCGCCTCCATTCCTGATCCTTTACTCACTTGCATGGCCTCATCTCCATTGTGACCTGAACTGATGTAATCTGATCTGATCTGATTTGATCTGCTTATGCGCACGTAGGTCTGGGCAAAAGGATTACATTGTACGTCGTCTCATTCGTGTTGGGTCGTCTCTGCAGGCGTGGGCAACAAGATCACAGCATACGTCGTCTCGTTCATCTTGGGCCTTCTCACCCATCGAGCCATCATCGCACCACCACGTGCCTTCCTCACTCGCCGCTTCTGCAACCCCTTCGCCCACGCCAACACCTCCTGGACCGTTGAACCCTTCACACAGCGGTAAGCCCACCCCTCCAGTGCAGTGCAAGGCGCACAGCACACTGGTCGCACAGCAGTGAGTCAGTAACCCATCAGTGGTCGCACCGGATAGCACCGCACCGGATGGCAGTGCATCGCATAGTAGCGCATTGCATAGCACTGCACGCATCGCATAGCAGCGCATCAGATAGCACCCCCCCGCATAACACCCCGCCGCATATCACCGCACTGCATCGCAGAGCACCACACCGCATGGCAGCACATGCACTGCACGCATCGCATTATCGCATAGAACCGCACCGCATAGCAGCGCATTGGATAGCACCTTGCAGCATAACACCCCACTGCATATCACCGCACGGCATCGCATAGCACTGCATCACATAGCACCGCATCGCATTGCATTGCAGCAGCTCACAGAGCAGCAGTTCGCAGTGTGGACATGCGAAGGGAACCTTGTGTGCTGCTTAGAGGCCCACTGTGCGATTTCAACCATCCATAGCTGAAGGCGGTCTTTCTGACAAGACATCCATTGCACACACATTCACAGTCCCACATCGCACCTTCCTGGCTTTCATTCCGTGCTCCCCCTTCCAAAGCCCACCTTCCTCCCCCTCCCCTTCCTCCCCCACACCCGCTCCCCCTCAAATCGTTGGTTCAGGATGCTGTTGTCAACAGTGCTGCGTCGGCCCAAGCTGCGCATGAGCGCACTGGCCAGGGAGATGAACACGCTGCGCCATGGAGTGCTGGAGGAGCTGCGGGGCACCGTGCAAGAGGTTGGCACGGTTCTCCTGGACTTGTACCACAGGTGGGTGGCTGATTGTCTGGACGTGAACCACAGGTGGGTGGCTGATTGTCTGGACGTGAACCACAGGTGGGTGGCTGTTTGTCTGGACCTGCTTGCAACATCATCAAGTGTAAATCGCTCCATGGTGTGCAGTGCGCATCAGTGCGCATCGCGTGGAGGGTCATGGTGTGGGCAGACTTCAGCGACCATGTCAGACTTCCATCCCTCGCATCCCTTTGCCAACCCCCCTGCCAACCCCGATGCCACATAGCATGGTGCAGGGTGTGATCCGAGTTCTGCGACGATATCGGTTGCCAAATCACATCCCTGCCATGCCCCACTCGTGCATGCGTGCATGCATGCAGGGTGCATATCAGGCTCAGAGTTTTGCGACCGTGCGCTTGGAATTCTGTGTCCAGCTGTGGGACGTCATATCAGGCCCTGCCATCCTCCTGCCATGCCCCCTGCCATGCCCCACCCCACTCTGCAGGGTGCGATCAGAGTTTTGCGACCATCTGTGGGACGTCATGGGTGCGGCAACCTTCTGGTACACCAGCACCGATGCCTACTTCATTCCCTCCCTCTACTACATCCCCTCCTTCGCTGTGAGCCTCCAATTCGCCCCTCCATGTATCGTCCATTTGGCCATGTATCGCAGGATCATTCCACTAGGCCAGCCGGGTCAGTACCAAGTGTTGCTGTACTGCTCAGTTTCCCAAACACACATCCACTCACATACACATCTACTCACATACACATCCACTCACACACACTCACATACACATCCACTCACATACACATCACATACACATCTACTCACATACACATCCACTCACATACACATCCACTCACATACACATCCACTCACATACACATCTACTCACGTACACATCCACTCACATACACATCTACTCACATACACATCCACTCACATACACATCCACTCACATACACATCCACTCACATACACATCTACTCACATACACATCCACTCACACACACATCCACTCACATACACATCTACTCACATACACATCCACTCACATACACATCTACTCACATACACATCCACTCACATACACATCTACTCACATACACATCCACTCACATACACATCTACTCACATACACATCCACTCACATACACATCCACTCACACACACATCCACTCACACACACATCCACTCACATACACATCCACTCACACACACATCCACTCACACACACTCACATACACATCCACTCACATACACATCCATTCACATACACATCCACTCACATACACATCTACTCACATACACATCCACTCACATACACATCTACTCACATACACATCCACTCACATACACATCCACTCACATACACATCCACTCACATACACATCTACTCACATACACATCCACTCACACACACATCCACTCACATACACATCTACTCACATACACATCCACTCACATACACATCTACTCACATACACATCCACTCACATACACATCCACTCACATACACATCCACTCACATACACATCTACTCACATATACATCCACTCATATACACATCCACTCACACACACATCCACTCACACACACATCCACTCACACACACATCCACTCACATACACATTCACTCCTGCTGCATCCACAACCAGGCGCGCATGTGTGTGCGTCCCTTTGTATCTACCCTATTCTCCCTCCCACCTATCTTCTCCGCAGGCACGGCTGAACGAGCTCTTCCCAGATGGCCGCGTGTACACACATGTGGCACGCTACCTGCTGCACCCAGACAACCAACTATGGGACGAAATCACAGCCGAATTCCTCGTCAACCTTGCCCAATTCCCCCACCGCCTGGGGGTTCAGGTGAGCGAGAATGACGTGTGAGTTGCCAGCTCTTCAAAACGAGGCCCAGAGAGTTCTCTGCCTGTGAGGAGTTCTCTGCCTGTGAGGAGTTCTCTGCCTGTGAGGAGTTCTCTGCCTGTGAGGAGTTCTCTGCCTGTGAGGAGTTCTCTGCCTGTGAGGAGTTCTCTGCCTGTGAGGAGTTCTCTGCCTGTGAGGAGTTCTCTGCCTGTGAGGAGTTCTCTGCCTGTGAGGAGTTCTAACTTCTCAGCCTGTGAGGAGTTCACTGCCTGTGAGGAGAACTCTGCCTGTGAGGAGTTCTCTGCCTGTGAGGAGTTCTCTGCCTGTGAGGAGTTCTCTGCCTGTGAGGAGTTCTCTGCCTGTGAGGAGTTCTCTGCCTGTGAGGAGTTCTAACTTCTCAGCCTGTGAGGAGTTCACTGCCTGTGAGGAGAACTCTGCCTGTGAGGAGTTCTCTGCCTGTGAGGAGTTCTCTGCCTGTGAGGAGTTCTCTGCCTGTGAGGAGTTCTCTGCCTGTGAGGAGTTCTCTGCCTGTGAGGAGTTCTCTGCCTGTGAGGAGTTCTCTGCCTGTGAGGAGTTCTCTGCCTGTGAGGAGTTCTCTGCCTGTGAGGAGTTCTCTGCCTGTGAGGAGTTCTCTGTCTGAGAGGAGTTCTCTGCCTGTGAGAAGTTCTCTGAGGGTGGCATTTGTGTGCTTGTGACGTCTATCATTGTACTCTCTTCTTCACTTGCCATGTTGCTCATCAGATTCGGTCACCATATGAAAGCGAACTGCCAGTGGCCCATCGTGTGCTCGACTGCGCTACCAACATCTCTCACTACCTGCCGCCCACCACCCCTCTTGCACCAGTGAGGCCCCTCTTGCATGGCTTGCACCAGTGTTTCCCCACTGCTGTTCCTTCCCCAACTCCCAACGTTCAGCATTGCTGCTCCCATATCTTCGCTTCCTTCTCTTCTGTCCTGCTCCCCACCTTTTACTCCGCTCCCCACCTTTTACTCCGCTCCCCACCTTTTACTCCGCTCCCCACCTTTTACTCCGCTCCCCACCTTTTACTCCGCTCCCCACCTTTTACTCAGCTCCCCACCTTTTACTCAGCTCCCCACCTTTTACTCCGCTCCCCACCTTTTACTCAGCTCCCCACCTTTTACTCAGCTCCCCACCTTTTACTCCGCTCCCCAACTTTCACTCTTCTCTCTCCCTTCGACTCTGCTCCCAACCCCTTACTCTGCTCCCATCCTTCTACTCTGCTCCCAACCCCTTACTCTGCTCCCATCCTTTTACTCTGCTCCCCACATTTTACTCACCTTCCCAACTTCTACTATGCACCCCACCTTTTACCCGACTCCCCACCTCGTTCTCTGCTCCCCACCTTTCAACCTACTCCCCACCTCGTTCTCTGCTCCCCACCTTTTTCCGCGCTGTCCACTTTTCGTCTGTACTTAGGTGTGACTGCCTTGTGGACCTGTCGTTCGATTCCATCTCCCCGCTTGACACCTACCATCAGAACGCATCATGGGCGGAAGCACGTGAGTCACCATACGAGAAGATGGGGGTGTTTGTGTCGTCTCTCAACATTCACCACTTGGTGGATCTGCAGCACCACTACCTACACAGCCACGTGCAGGGCAGCACTCACGTTGGCTTCTGGACGTGAGTGGTCCTTGCTGCGGCCCTCTTGATTCGCATGGTACATGGAGAACATTGGAATGGGATGGGTGGATAGTGGACTTGCATTGCAGCACCACTACCCAAGCCGCAACGTGCAGGGCAGCACTCTTATTGGCTTTTGGACGTGATTTGAAGCTGCCATTAGGGTTCATCGGGGGTGCCTCGAAGCTTGGGGGTGCCTTGGAAGGGCCTTGAAGCTACCTTGATGGTGCCTCCAAGCTACCTTGATGGTGCCTCTAAGCTACCTTGAAGCTACCTTGAAGCTACCTTGAAGCTACCTTGAAGCTGCCTTGAAGGTGCTTTGGCGCTTTTGACTGGGGGCGGTATGCAGTGGGTCTTACCATGGGATGGACCTGCGGCAACGATGCTTGCATTGCCACGTGCAGGGAAGCTCTTCCATTAACCTGGGACAGTAATTGGTGGGCATTGGCAAGACGTTTACGTGCAGCACCAGTACACACACTCCCTTTTTTTCTATTTCTGTTAACTTCTCTTGATTTCTTTGAACTTCTGCTGACTTCTGTCAAGTGATGCAACACCTTTGTTTTCTCCCTCAATGCTTGTGTGCTGCCTTGCGATGGCAGGATCACCAATGAAGAGGCAGAGAAACATGAGGAGGGGCAGATGGTATCAGCTGTCTTGGACATGTGGCTTCTGAGCTTCTGGTGAGTTGACCTTGATCGTCGATTCTAGTGAATTGATCCAAGCTTGTAGTTTGACTCTGAGCTTCGGAATCGATTCTGAGCTTTGGAATCGATTCTGAGCTTCGGAATCGATTCTGAGCTTCGAAATCGATTCTGAGTTTCTGCTGGAGTGGCCATCGCCTTGATTGAGTTGACTTCGCTGCTCCTGTGTTGGCCCTGGCTCACCTCCCCATCCATCCCTCGTCATGCTCTCTCCCTCCCTCGTGTTGCCTCCCCTGTTCTGTCTTCTCTCCCCTACCCAGTGCTTCTCCCTGCCCTTCCCACCTCCCTCCCAACGACCTCCTTCTCATAACGCACCTCCTCATCACTCCCCACTGCTGCCCTCCCCATTCCCTCCCAGCGACCGCCTGCTCATAACGGACCTCTCCACGTTCGGCAGCACGGCAGCAGGGCTGGCGGGCCTGAACAGCTACTCCATGGCGATCACAGTGCTGCACAGCATGAAAGTTGATTGGCGCAACTCCTCCGACCCCACGTGCCAGCCGGTCTCCTCCGAGCCCTGTGACCAACTGGGCGGCAATGTCAGATGGGTGAGCTGCTTGCAGCCAATAGCCAGGCAGACCACAGTGGCGTGGCATGGTATGGTGTGGTGTGGTGTGGTGTGGTGTGGTGTGGTGTGGTATGGTATGGTGTGGTATGGTGTGGTGTGGTGTGGTGTGGTGTGGTGTGGTGTGGTGTGGTGTGGTGTGGTGTGGTGCGGTGTGGTGTGGTGTGATGTGATGTGCTGTGGTGTCTAGTCTCTTCCTGAACTCCTACAACATGTCATGGGCTGTCCACGAGCGATCCTCATCAAAACCGTGCAACCCCTTACCGGGCGATGCCACATGGGTACCGTTCTCCACTTTCTTCGTCCTTCTATGGACCCCCCTCCTTGGTGTTTTCCTATCTGACCACATATTTGGTGTTCTTCAATGATGCCCCGTGTCCATGTCAGCGAGAGTGATTTGTTTGTTTCTTGTAATTTCATGTTCTTGTGAGTGCGTGCATGGAGCTTTATTTTGGGCGCATGCATTTTGGAGCTCGTGTGTGCAGGGTGGGTGCAAGAATTTTCGAAGATTTGGAGCAAAACGCTAGTGGGAGAGGATGCCGGGGTTTGGAACTTGTCTGGGAATGGCGTTAGGATTGCAAAACAATATCCCTCTTATGGGGTAAGTGATGGTGAATCCTGCGAGCATTTTGCAAATACCTTCGTATGTGTGAGACATCATAGTACCTTCGTATTCCATTGACGTTATTTTTATGAACACCAAATTACTGTTGTGGTTTCTAGCTCAACTGAGATCATACCATTGACAATGCAAAGATTGTCGAAAGACTAGGCAAGAATCAGAAACAGGAAAGAGGGGTTTTCACTAGCATGCAGTTGAGTACATATAGCAAACCCTAATTCGGGCTGTACTCGATATAGAGTACCCCACTGCAGGCTACACAAACATCACATTCTGACACACCCCCATAGTCAAAGTGGGGTACAATCAACACAACAAGCAGGCAGAGCAGTAGGTTCACAAATACAATCAAAGCCAGAGGCTATCACAGAGGGCAAGTGAGGAGGAGGAGAAACTGCGGGGGCGAGAAGATGGGAGGCGACGGCTGAAGCTGCAGACACACGGGCAACAGGAGTGCGCAGCACTGTCGCTACCAGGCTAAACCCGGACTACACAGCGACAGGCGCAGCTGGCTCGCTGTGCTCCCAGGAGTGCTCACACTGTGGCTACCAGGCGCAGAGCCCCGGACTACACGGCCACAGGGGGTCGTGTCTCTCTGGACTTCAGGCGCTGCGGACGACAAGACGACTGCCTCCACTCAACTTCCCCCAGCTGCCCCACACCCCTTTCACACACCCCCTGCTGCACCTCTAGCACTGCTCACACGCCACCCCCCTCGTACCACTCCGACGGCTCCAACACATCCACCCCCCTCAGCGGCAGCTGCAGCAGTGGGAGACGGAGGAGGAGGAGGAGCAGGGGACGGCGCACACACCCTTCACCCCCATACTCGCCACCCCCACACTCGCCACCCCCAAACCCTAACACAGGCAGCAGCGGGGGGCGGTGCGCGGGCAGCAGCTCGGGGGATGGTGCGCGGCTCCCCAGGGCGCAGGCTGTGCGGGCCGCGCACGGGCCTGGCGCGGGCTGTACGAGCCGCGCGCAGGCCTGGTGCAGGCCGTACGAGCAGCGCGCGGGCTGTACGGGCCGCGCGCGGGCCTGGCGCAGCCCGTACGAGCCGCGCGCAGGCTGTACGGGCCGCGCGCGGGCCTGGCGCAGCCCGTACGAGCCGCGCGCGGGCTGGAAGGGCCGCGCGCGGGCCTGGCGCAGGTCGCACGGGCCGCGTCGGGCGACGGGGGGGCGACGCGCGGGTCTCCGGGGGCGCGGCGACGGGCGACGGGGGTGACGCGCGGGTCGACGGGGCAGGGCATAAAACCGCCGCGCGCTAAAAAACGCCGCGCGCCCCGAGCGCGCGGCAGGCAGAAAACGACGCGTGCTCGAGGCGCGCGATAGGCAGGACAGCAGCGGAAGCTAACGGTGGGCCCATCCACAGGATCGACCCGGGAGGGTCGACCTGCTTTGATAGCATGTCGAAAGACTAGGCAAGAATCAGAAACAGGAGAGAGGGGTTTTCACTAGCATGCAGTTGAGTACATATAGCAAACCCTAATTCGGGCTGTACTCGATATAAAGTACCCCACTGCAGGCTACACAAACATCACATTCTGACAAAGATCTACATTCCTTCACCTCCCACAAGAGTCCACGTTCATGGTTAGAGGACCAACCATGCTTAGGAACGAGCCACCTCGTTTTCATGCTCATAGTGTTCAAGATCTCGCTATGAATTAGGGCCCATGAATGAGCCGCCAAGTGACTCAGCAGGTTGCATACAGCCAGCAGCAGAAACTACTGCGATGCGCTTCTCCAACGTGAGGGAACATCGCGCTATACACCTGAGAGTAGCGATAGTCAACCTACCAAAGCCCGAGAGACTGATGTCAACACCAATGACGATTCCGAACCTCACCGAACGCTTCCGCGAGTTGTGGTCCTTGTGCTCCTATCACCATTCGGTTTAGGAACCGGTCTTCATTGAAGCATGATGTCCAGCCACCCTCTTCACACAACAATATCACTAAGTATGCACGACGGTTGAGAGAAAGTTCACTTGCTGTACATGCTCAAGACTCTACTTGGTGTTGAAACTGTGTTTTATATAAACTGCCCTTTAGCATTAACAGTAGTGTAGTTTATTTCATTATTGGTGGTGCACCATTGTTCTTGCCTATTTGTACTTGTCACTCCATAGTGCAAACCCTCCTTTGACCAAACTATTCTCTCCATACTCACTCTTACTAGCTAAACCCTAGGTGTGAGTTAAGAGCCTACTTTGACATGCTATCAGAGCCGGAAGTTCCTCTAAGGACCTCCGTGATAATTTCTCATGGGCCCACCGTCACGCTGCCCGTCATGCAGCATTCCTGCCCGTCGTGCGCCCCGAGCGCGCGGCAGTTCCTGCCCGTCGTGCGCCCCGAGCGCCCGGCGGTTCCTGCCCGTCGTGCGCCCCGAGCGCGCGGCGGTTCCTGCCCGTCGTGCGCCCCGAGCGCGCGGCGGTTCCTGCCCGTCGTGCGCCCCGAGCGCGCGGCGGTTCCTGCCCGTCGTGCGCCCCGAGCGCACGGCGGTTCCTGCCCGTCGTGCGCCCCGAGCGCACGGCGGTTCCTGCCAGCCGTGCGCCCGGCGCGCCCTGCAACCCTGCTCGCCCGCGCCGTTTCGTCGCCCACCCCCCCCCCCCCCCCCCCCCCCCCCGTCGCCCCTCCCCGATTCGCCTCCCTCCTGCCCGTCCCTCGCGTGGTCTTTGCTGTGCGGGGGGGTGGTGGGGTGGTACCCGAGAGTGGGGGAGGCGGGGGTGGGTGACTCGGCCTCCCCGCTCTCCTCTCTGTCCCTGCAGCGGCTGGTGCTGAGGGGGGGGGGGAGAGGGTATGAGGGAGTCGTTGCACCTTCAGCGCCAGCCCGCCTCCCCTCTCTCACGGCTGCACCTGCTGCTGTCGAGGGGAGGGTGAAAGGGTGGCGGATAAGTTTCAGCAGCAGCCGCCCCCCCCCCAGCCTCTCTCCTTCTGCCACACCTGCTGCTGTGGGGTAAGAGGGTGAGGGGGTGGCGGGATTGAAGTCCAGCTGCTGCCGCTGCACCTGGTGACGCCGCATCTGTCACCGCAGCAACCTGCTGCACCTACTATGGTGTACCCCTTCAGTTGGTGTTGTTCACACTGGTTATTGCTAAGGGCAGTTTAGGGGGTGTGTTGAAACTGTGTTTTATATAAACTGCCCTTTAGCATTAACAGTGGTGTAGTTTATTTCATTGTTGGTGGTGCACTATTGTTCTTGCCTATTTGTACTTGTCACTCCATAGTGCAAACCCTCCTTTGGCCAAACTATTCTCTCCATACTCACTCTTACTAGCTAAACCCTAGGTGTGAGTTAAGAGCCTACTTTGACACTTGGTCTATCTATTCATTCGCATTACAAGCTTGCAGGTGTACAACCTCGTACCACGGGGAGAGTGGCAGAGGGACAAGGAGCGTCTTTCTGTCACCACAAGTTGTTGTAAGGGAGGCTGCCTTAAGTATCCAAGAATGGAGTTGTCTATATACCTACTGCTTGTTTCTGAATTTAGATACCGGTATCACGGCATCGCGTTGTCTGTGGCACAGTTGCAGCGGTGGAGCCACGAGTTTATGTGCGCCAAGCACCCACACATGGATTGGTAGGCATCATATTGGTGAACCTTTTAGTACCGAGCTCGCAAGGGACCCCCCAAGCCATGTTAGAACCAAGCTGGGCCAAAGACCCACAAATATCAACACTAATGATACGAGCAACACTGAATTCAGTAGCATACACAGGAAAAAAACATCACACATGTATATAGGGAACACAGGCAAGCACGTCGCAGCATCGCAATCCAGTCCAGGGTGACCACTTGAGGCCCAAAGCGGCCATGATAGAGGCCGTCGAGGCGGCGGAAGCAGTGCGCAGTGGAGTGGTAATCACGCAAGTAGATGGTGCCACGGCCCACACTAGACATAAGTTGGTACTGGCAGGGTCCGGCGTCCTGGCGACACTACTTCCAGCTGTCAGGGCCGCTACCGCGACCGACGCTCCCTAGGCCACCAAGTCCCTAGTGCAGCTGAGTGTCACAGGTCCAGGAAAGGAAATGTGCTCAAAGTAAATTATAAAAACATGGGTGGAATGTCGTGCTATATATGTGCATGACACAAGGCCAGTAACTCCGGTGTTACGAGAAGGTTCTGAGGGCCGCGAAGCGTGTCGAACGGATCCTTTTTTAATTTGGTAGAAGCCTCTCGGTGA